AACCAGCAGCAGCAGCAACCAGCAGCAGCAGCAACCAGCAGCAGCAGTAACCAACAGAAACCAGCAGCAGCAAGCAGCAGCAGCAACCAGCAGCAGCAGCAACCACTAGCAGCAGCAGCAGCAGCAACAGCGGCAGCCAGCAGCAGCAGCAGCAGCAACCAGCAAGCAGCAGCAACCAGCAACCAGCAGCAGCAGCAACCAGCAGCAGCAACCAGCAACCAGCAACCAGCAGCAGCAACCAGCAACCAGCAGCAACAGCAGCAACCAGCAACCAGCAGCAGCAACCAGCAACCAGCAGCAGCAGCAACCAGCAGCAGCAGCAGCAGCCAGCAGCAGCAACCAGCAGCAGCAGCAGCAGCAGCAACCAGCAGCAGCAGCAGCAGCAGCAGCAGCAACCAGCAGCAGCAGCAGCAGCAGCAAGCAGCAGCAGCAACCAGCAGCAGCAGCGGCAGCAAGCAGCAGCAGCAGCAACCAGCAGCAGCAGCAGCAGCAACCAGCAACCAGCAGCAGCAGCAGCAACCAGCAGCAGCAGCAACCAGCAACCAGCAGCAGCAACCAGCAGCAGCAGCAGCAACCAGCAGCAGCAGCAACCAGCAGCAGCAGCAACCAGCAGCAGCAACAACCAGCAACCAGCAGCAGCAGCAACCAGCAACCAGCAGCAGCAGCAACCAGCAAGCAGCAGCAGCAACCAGCAGCAGCAGCAACCAGCAACCAGCAGCAGCAGCAACCAGCAGCAGCAGCAACCAGCAACCAGCAAGCAGCAGCAACCAGCAACCAGCAGCAGCAGCAACCAGCAGCAGCAGCAACCAGCAACCAGCAAGCAGCAGCAACCAGCAACCAGCAGCAGCAGCAACCAGCAGCAGCAGCAACCAGCAACCAGCAAGCAGCAGCAACCAGCAACCAGCAGCAGCAGCAACCAGCAGCAGCAGCAACCAGCAACCAGCAAGCAGCAGCAACCAGCAACCAGCAGCAGCAGCAACCAGCAGCAGCAGCAACCAGCAACCAGCAGCAGCAACCAGCAGCAACCAGCAACCAGCAGCAGCAACCAGCAGCAGCAGCAGCAGCAGCAGCCGCAGACATGCTACCTTTCGTCCACCCCCGTCTCCTCAAGTTGTTTCTACACCTTTAGACCTTGGACTTGTGAAATTCACTGTGATACGCTGTTTGGGGTCCCTTGCCGGGAACTTTTTCAATGGGTATATAATAAGCAAAAGTTGCCCCAAAGACTTCCTTGCACTGGGCAGAGCGATGGGGCTGACGTAATGCTCAATCTTCAAGAACTAGTCGCCCCTGGGAAACGGCGACGGCTACTGCATCCTGCATCCAGGACTTCGTTCAACGCTTGAATCCGTTGAGCCTGCGCGGGGCCATTTTTGCTTTGTGACCGAAGATTGCCAAGGGGTCTTGGCTTGCATAAATTGCCTTTTTCCTTTGATTTTAGTTTCGCGAGATAAGCCCAAGTTGAGTGGCAATTCATGTTCGAAAGAACTGTTCACATTTTCATCAACCAGGGCAGGCCCAGCAGTCTTTCGTCAAGTGGCCCCCACGGGCAGCTAGCCACCTTGACGCACACGAAGGGAAAGCTCTTGCGTCAACCCAATCAGTTTGCTAATCGGAAGTTGGACTTCTGATTCTCTTATGATTATAGTACAAGCATTACAATGTGACATCTATGAGACTAGACCACAAAGATCATTGCAAAGCAGATAGACGTCAAGACTTTCCCTTGTTTTCCGGCTGCATCGGCAGCCTACTCATGTGTACTCATTTATTTGATTGTTATAGACGCTACTCTTGCAGGCATCTTTGCAGACTCGCAGTTTCTGCCCAAGGCAATGGTTGGGTAAATTGGTCCAGCTGGACCATGGTTTGGCTGCGGTCGCAACATGTATACCACCAAAATGAGCACTTATATAAACTCTCGGGTTTGTGGGGTCGATAGAGGAAGCACGAAAGGCCATGTTCATTAATGAAAACGCTGGCGTGTATAATGCGACTCGCGCGATGTTAGGTTACTAAGTGGGTTGCCTAATAATAAGATACATGCTGAATGTTAAACGGCCCGTCGGTAAAGACGAGTCGTGTTGCGGAGGTTTCCTTTTCAAGGAGCCTGGGCAATCTGTTGCCAACCAAGTGTTCTTAAATGACAGTTTCAAACGTACTGTTTGCACATTGAATAATATATTCACAGATCCGACGCGTTGCCGCTGCAGAATTGCCATGGCCTGGTTTGTTGTTTTCGTATTTAAGCTATATATATAATGTTAATAGCAGTGGGACGATAGCATACCTTGGCATAGCCTATGCGTGTACAGCATACATTAGCGTGTCACGCCAACTCTTTGGCTCAAGACTCCCGTAGTTCAAGCGGAAAAGAACTGCGCGCCATTGCTGACTACAAGGGAGAGGATAGTCTACTCATACTTCCCGTTGAGCAGATTAATATCCACACGCAGGTTATCAGCCGTAGCCGCTCCGAGGTTACGAGCTTTGAGAGACCAATATTACAACCAAGACTTAAATCACAATGTCGAGCTCTGGAGCAAAAAGCAGTGGACAATTCTCCTTCGCCCCTCCAGGAGGAAATGCATCACAATCTTCGCCAGGTTCAATGACCGGTGCTAGTTCTGCTGATGCTGCCACAGTGATTACTATGCCATCCACATCGTTAATTTCAGGTGAAGGAGGGATCGCTCCATGAGAGACGACTTCCACCGGATCCGATGTTCGAATGGGCAACGCAAAGAGAATTATGAAGAGATTTGCGAGATCTACATCGCCAAGGACTATAACGAGAAGATCGCCAAAGAGAGATATCGAAAAGGTAGAAATTGAAGATGCCAAAGAATATGAAGAGATAGAAATCAAACTCCTTGAAGAACTACGATCAGCAAGAGTATCCTACCAGCACTTGAACGATAAATACAGCTATTTGCATGATGGATATACTAGACTCTATGCTGAATCGGGGGGAGGAATTTTCGCAAATGACAAAGTGCAACATGGCAATGAACACTCACATACAAGAAATGCAAGAGGATGAAGGTGCAACTATACGGATTGAAGAACTTGAGAAGAAACTCAGGCTTGCCGAATCTTTGGCAGATCACATCCACACGAGGTACGAGACAGTCGCTTATGAGAATCATGAGGAACACTCCCAGCTTGACGAAGTGACCTCCAAGATGGAAGACATGACCAGTGAAATGCAAGGTGCCTTCAGGTACATCCAAGAGCAGAATCAGATCTCTGATAACTACAACAGAAGGGCTCAACATCTCACTGAAGAGAACAAAGCGATGATGAGCGTCGCCGACGAACTACAGATGAAGATGCTGATGCTGTAGGATGAGAACAGCAATATGCTGGAGATAGCTCAGAGAGAAAGGGAGAAGCAATGGAAGAGTGAAATTCACCACATGGTACTGACCAACGAGGCTGCTGCGAGCACTCATCATCGATACCAAGAGAAGAGAATGGTAAAACATCTTCGTGGTCAACTGGCAACCGTCAAGGGATCAGAGATGAGTATGATTGCAGGAGATGAGTAATCTTGATCTTGAACAAAAGACTGAGCTACAGGCATGCAGATTGGAAGTCAACGAGAGGGAGATGTGGGCACAACAATTTCAGTATGAAGCAAGAGTGATGGCAGAGGCAACGAAAACATTGGAGGACGCTGCTGTCAAAATACAATCACAAGCAAAAGATGAGCAACGTCAGATGAGAGAAGCCAATCTTGCCCTCACAGAAGCCAAAAAGATACTGAGAAGAGAGAACTTGTTGGGAACATCCGCAATCGATGGTAGAGAAAGGGGTATTTCTTGATGAGAAGTTCCAGGAACTCGAGGAGAACAACAAAATCGCTGAAAAGCAATGATCAGAAGTGAGACTTGAGAAT